AAAAGAGAAATTGGAAAATACTGAACAATTATTTAAAAATATAACATTTCTACACCGGAAAATCTAAGCTAAATTTAAAAAGAACAAACAAGGGAAGGAATTTTCATCAACTTTGACAAATACTATATATAAAGCATTTCTTTTAGTTGTAAGAATATCAAGACTATAAGGAAAGAGCTAAACAGGCAAATAATTCACGTGGTAAGAAACACCAGTCTCAGTGTGGTTTTTTCACATCTCACCAATATTAACTAAAATGAGAGAAAATCCCAAGTTAACATTTCTTGTCCACCATCTAGATGTAAAATATTCGTAGAATTTCTTCTCTAAAAAGCAAGTCGACCAAGTTATAATCCTGGGCACAAATATTTTAAAAAGTCAGTAACATTTAAAGAAACACAATCAGACTTGCTAATCAACATATTCCACACATACTGATGATTAATATTTTGTGCTTTTTCTCCCACTTGTAACGTCTTTTTTAAACCTTTTCTTACTTATTCTTAGGGAAGAAAATTCACACAACATCCTCTAGAACAAAAATACTAAGGGAAAAAAATTCAGCATATTTTATCAATTAAAAATCTAGGTAACAGAGGTTATGACCTCATCTACCATCACAAATTCAAGTCTGAAATCTCCACAAAAAGCAAGGTTTTTCTGATACTCAGTTCAGTACCCTTAGTACACCTGATACTTTACCCTATTATTTTAAAAGCATGTAAAAGAGGTGGGTTTTTGAATAAAACATTCACACATTTTACGAACTCCTATACCATTCATATCACTAATTAAAGGACTGGTTCAGGATTTTTCATTTCCATAGCAAAAAACTGAACTTCAGGTAGAAGAATAGAGAAAAATTACTTAATTTCCAGTTCAAGGTCATCTAGTTATTTGTATCTGTTTGCTAATGCCGGTTTTATTAGAAAATATTATTTATGAGCATTCCCTACTTTGTTTTAATAATTTATTACCTGTAAGCTCATGGGGCTCCATCTTGTGGTTTAAAGGGCTTATAATAAATCTGAACTCATTTGCTTTGCTTAAATAGTAGAGTGCCATCTTTATCTGAGGCAATAGAGCCAAAAATTAACACCATTGTTTTTTCACTTGTCTTCACTGTTAACATTTCCATTTTTAAATTATTGGAATCATTCGTAACTAAATTAGTAAAATATAAATAGTAACCTACCATGGTTTTCTATAGTATTTTAGCTTCTTTTTCCGATCCTTTCCCCTCTTTCTTGTGGTCTTTACTAGGCACTGTTTTGTGTGACAATACCTCCTCATAAGCCTTAGTCCCAACAGCTCAGCGTCAATACAGCAAAGATGTTTGAAGACCTGTTCTCTGGAATACACCTGTAAGAGAAGAGGGAAATTTCAAAAATGCTTATTTACAATTAGTTTCAAATCCACATGTCAAGCCCATAAACATGTTTATAAAGGAAAATTACCACAGTTCAAACAAAAAGCTAACACATCCTTTGAAGCCCTGAGCCCAAGAGTCTAGGTGATACAGCCAGAAAAGTTAACCCTCCTGGTGGCCACAATGTGGTAACTGGCTGACTTGTACTCAATGAGATAAACATATTTGCACACACAGACTCAGTTAAGAAGCACCAGCTGGAAGAGTAATACTACTACTGGTGGCAACAATGCTGCAATTAACCATCAGATTTTCAATTAGAAATTGGTATTACTCAGGCCTATCTGAAAATTCGGTAGATAAGAAACCTGAAAATGTGCTATGATGTTTTCCCATTGATACTGCCATTAGACAACAGATACAACATGTAGTATTAATTATTTCATTAATTATTTTAGGTCTGAAATTCAGAATGCTTTTTTGGCTCTATTCCCCTAACTCCCAAAAGACCCCACTTGCCCCTCAGCCTGTATGCACTGCTATGCCACAGGCCACTGAATATTCACTAGACCCTAACTTCATTACCCCTGGATATGCCTTGCCAGAATTAGACAGCATATTTCTGCCCAGAGGTCTAATTACCATTCTGTTACCCACTTTGTTCCACCTTCATAAGATTTTATTTTATTCCAGATAGTGTAAAAGTCAAGTCTTCTGAGCACTCATGAAATCTTTATATACTAGAAGCCCAGCTAGTGAAAAAAGAAAAACACAAAAATAAGGGCTATCATCAAAATAGAACACATGCTTTCACTACATGGATATCAGAGGAACTAATTTACATAACACATATGATATAAAAACCCAAAGAAAAATACCTTCCTCTTCATCTAAATATCTTTCCTTTAAATTTCCTTTAAATAAGGAAAACACCCTTAGAAGACTCTTGTCCATAACAGTTTCTTAATATTATTGGTTGCTCTCTTAAAGAAATAAATTCCTTTTTAAATTAGTTGGACCAGAAAAATTACAGATGTGACATTTAATTCTTCTCAGTACTTCAAATGAAAACACGGACCCACAATTATAGTCAAATGACACTCAGCTGTGTATCACCTACATGCAAAACTATTCATATCCTCTAACCACTTTCCCTAGCTCTGGTTTACAAAATCTACCTGAAATAAGCCAGTGAAGCTTGATTAAAAAAAAAAAAGTATATAACTGAACATATTCTAATAAATGGAACTTACTTGGGTTATTATTCATATCACATTTAAGAGGGAATGTGTAAGTGCTATAATACATAGGATCCTTTTGTACAACCAAGTGAAGAAACAGAGATTAAAACAAGATCTCAGGGTAAGAGGTATTTCAAAAATGCTCATCACTAAAATTGTACCTTCCGTATAAAGATCATACTACACAACTAAAGTCTTCAGCATCTCCCATTCCCATCCCTACTCCATTCTGGGGATTCAACCATTCAGTACTTAGCTGTAAATCCAGTAGCCAAAAAGGATTGCTATGTGTCCAGTTGAGAACTGAAACCAAGTCCACAAGCTTTCTCTGTAAAGGTGTGAAGCCAATAAATCAACCATTTTAAGAAAGTAGACTGAAAGCAGAAAGAGTGGGAATAAGGCTAAGAAAGAGCTTCTTTCTGAGGTAGTGGGGAAATTGTGAATCACCAGTGTAAGAGAACAGTACTCTGCAGCCATTTAGCATAGAGGGTAACTACATTACCTATACATCAACAACCTCTAGGAACTTCAGAGGATAATAGCACAGTGCAGTAATTCATGATAAAAGCACAGATTCTTACAATCACATTCTGTTGGTGCTGTAAAATGAACTTATAAATCATGTGACCAACCCTACCCTCAGTTTACACATGAAAACAGAATCAGACATTATGGTCATATAGTTAACCAGTGACACGGCATGGTCTAGAAACTAAATTGTAAATCAATACTGTTCCCCCACTATATCAATCTGATTGAGAAAAAGTCCAATTGTATTTGGTTTATTATATGCAGACAGGGAGCAACTGCAACACATTTTTTAAGAATTTCTCTTTTTTAAGGAAAAAAAGGTCAATTTAGTGGATAAAATTCAGGCCTTGAAATTTTAAAAATGCCAACTTTGCCATTTAATACCTATGTGACCTTTTCTGCCATGTGACTCAAAAAGTCACTTAATTTCCTTGGGTCTCAGTTTCCTTTATATATAAAATGATAAATTATTCCATTACTAATTAACAGATAACATTTATGGAACTCAAACTTTGTACCAGGCACACCAATGCCTAAGAGCTTTTCATACATTAATTCATTTAATCCTCACAACAATCTCAAATATTGTTTCCATTTAACACACAAGGAAATTAAAGCATAAAGGAGATAATATAACCTAATTAAAATCAAAAAGCAAGTAAACAGTAGATCCAAGATTCAGATCCAGACCATCTTCTTTAATATTATTTTGGCTATAAAAGATTTACAATTATTTACTTCATGGGATCAACTTCAGCTATTTCAAAAATAAGTCCATGCGAATTACTAAGGCTGTATAGCACACAGGCTTTGGAGTCAGATCGGCCTTAGATTAAAGTACCAGTTTCGCCACTTGCCTTATCTGAGCCAGAGTTTTTTCACCTGTGCAATGGGGTGACTACGAAGGAGACAGGTTATTAAAAAAAAAATACCTAGTAATATCTGTCAAATAATATACACTCAATAAATGGTTTCAGGAAAAAAACAAACACACCTTAAATTTTCTAATGTTAAATAGAAATGTTTTGTTTACACATCAGATGTATGTACATATCTCTGAAAAACTAAGCTTAGAAAAACACTAGCTGTACTCTACTTAGAACAGCTTTAGGCAACAGGTGGAATGTTTTGTAAAGGCATGTGTATCACTTTTTATTGAGGTTTTTTTTTTAATTAACAGAGATTATTTTTAGAGCAGTTTTAGATTTATAAGAAAAATTAGTGGAGAGTATTTCCTTTTCTCCCCACCACACACAGTTTCCCTTACTATTGACATCTTGCATTAGTATGGTACATTTGTTACCAATGTTGAGTCAATGTTGATATATTATTATTAACGAAGTTCGCAGTTTACATTAGGGTTCACTCTTTGTGTTGTAGATTTTATGGGTTTTGACAAATGACATGCATCCACCACTACAGTATCATATAGAATAGTTTCGCTGCCCTAAAAATCCCCTGTGGTCCACCTATTTGACCATCCCCGCTTCCCCACAAGCCCCCTTGTAACCACAATTTTTTTTTTTATAGTCTATACTTTTGCCTTTTCAAGAATGTCATAGTTGGAGTCATATAGTATATGTAGCGTTTTCAGACTGTCTATTTCATTTAGTGATAAGCATTTAAGCTTTCTCCATGTCTTTCCATGACTTAATAGCTCATTTCTTTCTATCACTGAATAATTCAATTGTATGGATGTACAATAGTTTATCCATTCACCTGCTGAAGGACGTCTTGATTGATTCCAAGTTTTGAAAATTATAAATAAAGTACTATATACGTAAGTGTTTCTGTGTAGACATAAGTTTTCAACTTCTTTGGGTAAATACCAAGGAGAGCAAATTGCTGGATCATATGGTAAGAGTATGTTTAGTTTTGTTAAGAAACCACTAAACTGTCTTTCTGAGTGGCTATACCATTTTGCATTCCCACCAGTAATGAATGAGAATTCCTGTTGCTCCACATCCTCCTCAGCATTTGGTGTTGTCAGTGTTCTTGATTTTGGCCATTCTAATATGTGTATAGTGGTATGTCACTGTTGTTTTAATCTGAAATTCTCTGATAACATACAATGTTGAGCATTTTATCATATGCTTATTTGCCACTTGTATTATCTTCTTTAGTGAGGTGCCAAGATTTTCTAGCCATTTTTTAACTGGGTTATTTTCATATTGTTTAGTTTTAAGAGTTCTTTCTATATTTTGGATACCAGCCCTTTATCTGATATGTGTTTTGCAAAGATTTTTCTCCCAGCAGCTTGTTCTTTCATCCTCTTAACAGTGTCTTTCATAAAGCAGAAATTTTTGATTTTAGTTTATTCCAACTTATCAACTTTTTTCTTTCATGGATCTTGCTTTTTTGGTGGTAGTGTATCACTTTTTAAACTGACCTCTAAGGGTGAAAGGCTTTAGATGTCAGGCTACTCAGTCTACAAAGCAAGGTTCTTTTATGTATGAGTATTAAACCCTTTCATAAGGCACAAATCTCAAAACTGAAGAACTATGCTTTCTATGTTCAAACTATAAAATTAGTCCAATATTTAAAGACTTTTCTGAAATGCAATAAGGAGAAAATGTTAAAAATACTTTACTATCTTTAAAAATTCCAAGTAGGCCGGGCGCGGTGGCTCACGCCTGTAATCCTAGCACTCTGGGAGGCCGAGGTGGGCGGATCGTTTGAGCTCAGGAGTTCGAAACCAGCCTGAGCAAGAGCGAGACCCCGTCTCTACTAAAAATAGAAAGAAATTAATCGG